ACAACCAACAATTAAGGGGAAAATGGTCATCAATCAAGTGGTGTAACATCCACCCATTAATCCCCCAATAAGAGCTAGCTTTTATCAACATTAAAATGGGTAACGACTAGTCTTTAAGTGACAACATTAATCAGCAATAATGCCCATTAAATTAGCAAATAAGAGGAAGCTAAAATTAAGGGATTCCAATAGCCAATAAATCCCAATAGTCAAAAGAATAAACACCGTAACTTCTTTGTTTTATTTCAAGAACTTCCAACACATCATTGCGAATCACTCCACCTCCACCAGCTTTGTTCTCACCCTTCCAACTTCCATCAGTGTTCAGTTTCTTGTACCCCATTTGTGGCATTTTCCACATTGTAGGAGAAACAGTGTTTATCAGGATTCCATTTCTTGTCTGCAAAATTTTGTTGTTAAGGTACAAATCATTGCTGAATTTTGCAAATAAATTTTGGATCCTACTCACTGACTTCTCAAAAACTGCAGTGTTTCTGTAATTCCATAAATTCCAAATACCAATTGCAAAGGTGTTTTTCCAATCCTTGGGTTGATTGAGATTGTAACACACCCAATCCCACTATTGGTTGATTTGAAATTGATTTAGGTCAATTTGTTTTGCACAGTTAACCTTACCAAAAACCATGTTCCAAAAACTAGAGGAAGAAGGGCAATCTCTAAATAAGTGGAGATGATCTTCATCTGCTCCACCACATGTAACACAATTTGGATCAAAATTTGGAATTTTAAGTTTCAACCTCACTCCAACTGGAAGAATAGCATATACAATATTCCAGATAAACATTTTATACTTAAAAGGAATTTGGATATGCCATATTATTTTCCAATTAAAATTGAGGGAATTAGAAGCAAGGTGAGGAGGGGTAGAAATAGCATAAGCAGATTTGATACTGAACTCACCATTTTTTGTGTGTTTCCACCTAATTCTATCAGGAGGAAAAGCAATAGTAGAAAGAGGAGTTGCAAGGATTTTTTATTGAATAGGATGAGGCAGCAGGTGAGCAATATTAGAGATATTCCATTTCCCAAAGTGAATAATATCACTGACACACCAGTGAGCAAGGTGAGGAGGGATAGGGGTAATGGTAAGATTGCAGAGAGGGCAATCTCCTACCCAAGAGTGATACCAAAGGGAAGTGGTGCGGTCATCCCCAATGGTGCTAATCAAACCTTGTTTAAGGATGTTTCTGCCCTTTAGAATATCTTTCAAAATGGTGGAAGAGGAAGGGGAAGGGGTGATGTCCATGAAATTAAACTTTGAAAGATATTTGGTAGCTAGGATTCTAACCCATAGTTTGTCCGAGTGATTAAGCATCTTCCAACCCAATTTTTCCATGAAGGTTTCATTCCATCTTCTAAGAGATCTAACCCCAAGACCACCAAGAGACATTGGCTTACAAATAGTATCCCACCTGATTCTAGGAATGTACCTAGACCTCTCCACCCTATTCCAAAGGAATTTTCTAGCACATTTCTCTATTTCTTTGATAATCCCAATTGGCAAGAGGTTGGTTTGCATTACATACAAGGCATAAGTATTTAGAACTGATTTAAGCAAGGTAGTTTTGCCCACCATGTTTAATAATTTAGCTTGCCATCCTCTAATATTTCCTTAGTTTTATCAAGGAGATTAAAGTAATCCCCCCCCCTTTTTTTAATTTGTTAGGCCTTATCATTACCCCCAAATATTTGCCAAAAGAAGAGGTGCATTTAATACCAGCCATGGAAGAGATGATGTTCCTAACAGAATGGGACATTTTGGCAGGGAAGATGATGGTGGATTTTGTCAAATTAATGCAAAGGCCAGAGGCTTTACCAAAGTCATGAAGGATACGGTTTATGGTTGAGATATTGTTGGTGTTAGCCCTCCCAAATAAGAAAACATCGTCTGCATAAAACAAGTGAGTTAAGCCAATGTTTTTAGTGATTTTGTTAGGGTCCCAGTGTTTGAGCCTAACTAGTTATGGACTTATGGGTAAAGCTGAATTTTTAAAAGTTATGGTGGAAATTTATACAGTACTTCATAGTTCATATTTGTATACTACGTAAATATGTTTGGGAGGACAAATAGGTTAGATAAATTATACAAAGTAATTTATAGCACTAATAGTTCTTTTTGTCCACAAATCAATAATAGCACTAGTATTTTCTTTATAATAAATAAATAAATAAATAAATAAACAAAAGGCAACTGTTAACTTGTTATTGAGGATGTTATGATGCTTTTTTTTATCAACAATTAAAAAATAGAATATGACAGAATGAGTATTATTTTTATTTTTTGAAAATTATTATTATATTAACATTGTAACTAAAAAAAATTGCAATTCAATAATTAGGTTGATTAAAACCGTGCATTGCATGGAATTTAAGCTAGTCTTTCTTAAAAACAAAAGGAAAATTTTGAATTTTAACACCACACACAAAAAAAAAGGTTTTTAACACTACAAAAAAAAAAAAAAAAAAAAAACAAAAAACTTAACACCACAATTTTTTTAAAAAAATGGCTTTTACCACCACTTAACTATTGCCGTTCAAAAATCCGTTAAGTGGGGCCTATTGTGCCACGTATCGCTAAATAATTAGTTTTTTTTTAAAAAAATAAAAATTAGAAAAAAAACAAAAGCCCTAAACTAAGCCGACCACACCATCCCTACCACCGGTGGCACGCCGCTGCCCACATTCCCACCCAACCACCCCAGATCGCAGCCTGTCCCACTGCCAATTCTGCCCCTTCCTCCTGACAACAACTCCCCAACAACCGCTAAAAACGAGCGGGCGTTTTTCAAACCACCCAACAACGACCACTAATATGGTCGATAATGGTCGAAAACGACCGATTTAAGGCCTAAGTGGTCAAAATCGATCCTTAGTGGCCATAAACTAGTCATATTTGACCCTTAACGACCGTTTATAGTGGTCATTTCTAGGGGGTGTGTGGCCGTTGTGGTTGAGTTGCCGGTTTTAGGGAGGGGGATAAAGTGAGGGTGGAGAATCCGATGGTTGGGAACGGCGGTGTTATGATGGGTTAGTGGCGATGACTTGCTGTTTACGATAGCTGAGTGGGTAGCTTGGTTAGTTTTAGAGTTTTGCTTTATTTATTTAATTTTTTATTATTTGGAGCAATTATACGTTGACACGTAGGCATTGTGAGCAGAGGAGTTCAAAAACTGCTTTGGACTGAAAAAATGGACTAGACCGGACTGACCCCAGACCAAATGAATCGGTCTGGTCTTCGGGTCGAGAATTTTATTTCCTCGATCTACGGTCTGATTGGATTGGTTTGATTTTTTGCTTAAAAATTATACATAAACCTTTAATAAAGATTAAAATTATCGTTAACAAATATGAAAAACTTCAGTTATATAAGATTTTTTGTATCAAACATACAAAAAAAAAAAAGTTAAAATATTGTTTTTCCTTTATATTTTTTTTACTTTCCATAAATTATTTGAAATTTAGAATTTTTTTATAAAAATTCTAAATTTGGTCCAAATCGGTCCGGTCTGAGTTTTAGACTGATTATTTGTGTCCGGTCTGGGTTCGGTCCTAGCTTAATCGGTTCGGTGTTCGGTCCGATCCAGGTTGATCCAATCCGGTCCGGTCTTAATTGGACCAATGAACAATCCTAATTTTGGGTCCCATAAACGGATTTTATCTATGATTTACTTAAGTGGTGGTAGAAGCCAACTTTTTAAATATTTTGTGTTGTTAAAATAAAAGTTTTTATTTTTATTTATTTATTTTAAATACTACTACAGTACCATTTTTGTGTTTTTTGTTGTTAAAATTCAAAATAATTTTCTTTACTTTGAATTTAGAAACACTATGATACATTTTAAATACGAGTATACTTCATCCGTTTCTATTTAGTTGACGCGTTTGATTTAGGCACATATATTAAGGAGAGGAGAGAGAGTGAGAGAGAATGCAAAAGTAAGGTCCCGTTCTTTAGAGCCGCTCTGCTCTGCTGAAATCTGTTTTGCTCAACTTTGCTGAAATCTGCTCTGCTCTGCTCTACTTAAAATTAATACTTAATATTGAATTATTATAATAATAATTAATATTTAATAATAATAAATAATTAATATTTAATATTTAATAATAATAATTAATATTTAATAAGAATAATAATAAATAATTAATATTTAATATTTAATAATAATAAATAATTAATATTTAATAATAATAATAACAATAATTAATTATTGATATTTAATAAAAAATAAATTATTAATATTTATTAATAATAATAAAAAATTAATAATAATAATAATAATAAATTATTAATAATTAATAATAATAATAATTAATATTTCATAATAATAATAATAGTAATAATAATAGTAATTATACTAATAGTAATAATAATACTTATAACTAATAATATTAATTATAATAACAATAATTGATTTTTATAATAACAATTAATATTAAGATAATATTTAATATTTAAAGATAATACTAATTATTAATTTTTAATAACAATAATAATAATTAAATAATATTTAATAATGATAATAATAATTAATATTTAACTTTAAAAATTCAATGATTATAATAATAATGCGATAATATTAGTAGTAGCAATAGCAGTAATAATAATAATAATAATAATAATAATAATAATAATAATAATAAAATAATAATAAATATTTAATAATAATAAATAAATAAATACTAATACTAATAATTAATATTTAATAATAATGATGATGATAATAATAATAATAATAATAATAATAATAATAATAATAATAATAATAATAAAATCTGCTCTGCTGCTCGGCTCGGCTCTGCTAAAATCTGCTCCCAGAAGCTCAAAAGAACAGAGCCTAAGTGGGGTACCAAAAGAAAACGTGTCAATTAAAATTCCAAAAAGGAATACGTGGGCAATTAAAAAGAAACGGAGTTACTATTTTATTTTAAAAGTTGGGGATGTGATTTACTAAAGTACCCCTAATATCCTTAAGTATCTTTACTTTCAATCGGAGAAGTAAACCAGAAGCAAAAATCTCAGGCAACAACAACACTACTCCCTCACAACCACACTAACAAACCAACCCCACAAAAATGGCGACGACAACACGGCAGCGGCGCACTCAGCCGTCAGATCAACCAGCAGCACCATCATCAACATACTCCAAGCTCAACAAGCCATCCAAACACGGCGGCGAAGGCGGCGGAGACGACGGTGGTTTAGGGTGGGGATTACCATTGTTTGCCCTTGGAATGCTGCGATATTTGAGCGCAACTTCCAACATTATTCATGATTGCGATGAAGTCTTCAATTACTGGGAACCTTTGCATTTTCTTCTTTATAAGTCTGGCTTTCAGACTTGGGAGTACAGGTTTATTCTCCATTTTTTACCCTCTCTTTTCTTTAACTTTGGTTTTATTTTGTTTCATTTTTGTCAATTTTAATGGGATTGTAGATAGATATGCACATGTTTATATGTATTACCCGGTTACATATTATTTGCAACGATTTAACATAAAGCGATTTGACATAAAGTAGAGAGGAAAAATGCCTAATCGTTGCAAATAGCATGAAAGGGAGGTAGTATTTATTTCTTTATATCTATGTTTGATGTTGTTTGTGGCACAATGTTCTATCATTAATGTTGGTATTCCAATATTTCGGGAAATGATACACCAAAATTGATTTTGGCACACATTTTATGTGAGAGCACAGTTTTCTATGCTTTCTCACATATGGGTGTGCCAAAATCGATTAATGGTGTGCTAAAATCAATTTCCCAATATTTCGTGTTGAATATTCTCATTATTAGCCCGTGTGTTGCGCGGGTTTGAAATCTAGTATCTTGATGAATATATGATTGAATTATTGTAGCTATTGGTATTGTGACGGAGATGAGTGATTGGGTTTTAAGGGATGGAATTAGGGACATTGTTTCTGTATTTATGCAATTGATTTTTGACATGGGTGTTTTGTTATACAATGTAATACGCCTATACACGAGTATTTTTGTAACATAATTTAGTTGGGGGAACTGGGGAAGGGGGGTTCATTTAGTGAATTGGTAGAGTCTAAGATTTATTTACCAGCTAAAAATCTTGGTTATGAATTGATGTTTATTCTTTGTGCTTCAAGGTAGTTTATGTTAGAAGCATGAACTTGTAGTTTCATTTGTCGTTGCTATATATGGTCGCACATTCAATGTAATGTTACATTTCTAAATTTAAATTGCATGGATTTGATGACCGGACTTTGAAAGGCGATTAAATGTCAATGGTGACATGATTTAGTTTAACAATCTATCTGAGATGATTGTATGGAGTAGATGGGTTACTCCATTTCTCAAGTTGGGAAACATTAAACATATTGTGATAATGAATAAGCTTTTGCTCTCCAACTGATTCCGATTCTCTTGCAATTTGTAGTGCTGAATATGCTCTGAGATCATATCTGTACATCGTATTCCATGCTATTGCAGGCGGACCAATTTCCTTTTTATTTGAAGACAAGGTAAGTTTTGTACTAACTTTGCTGTTTGTAGGCGTTTTAAGTCTTAATGTAAGCCTCAGAATCTTGTAAATGTGTCAAATTTTCTACCTTTCAGGTCAGAGTATTTTATGCTGTGAGGCTCTTTCTAGGGCTTATCTCTGTCGTTACAGATGCATTTCTTGTTGTAGCTCTCTCGAGAAAGTACGGGAAACGTCTTGCCTCTTACACCCTTGCGATGCTTTGCTTAACAAGTGGATGCTTCTTTGCTAGCACAAGTATGTTTGCTCTCAATATATTTTTTTCCTGGATGCTGTTATGTCCTTTTCTGCTTCTTTTGTTAATCTCTTTTGTCTTTATCTGCTTCTTGATCATCCTACATACTTGCATCAACTTTGAGAAAATAAAATATGAATAACTCTCTCTCCTCTCTCCTTTCTCTAAAACCCTAGCCTCCATTGTTGAATTTTGAGAAGGCTTTCATCGATTTTTATTGGTGGAAAGCCCCAATGTTTATTTCTTTTGTGTGTGTGTGAGTGTTTTTCTTTCCTTTGCTTTTGTTTGTATTTAGGTTTCTAATAACTCCTCTTCTAAGAGGAACTTTTCTCTCTCTAAAGACATGATTTTTGTTCATTACACCTTATCTCTTTTGAAAAACATAGTTTTTCTTTTCCTCTTTTGAAGAAGGATTTGCTTATTTGTTTTAATGGATTGTTGGGAAATTGTTCCTTGGTGAAGAATTACCGCTTGATTGCATTTGTCAATTTCTTGAATACAGTAAAATGAATCAAATAAAAACTATCTTCATAGCTACAATAAATCGTTAGATTGTCTCTCCAAAGAGGCGGTATATTCCAACAATGTGAGCTAGTAATGTTCCAAAGTGCAACATATATTCGATGATCGTAGTTTATATGAAGAAATTCTTTATTTGATTCAATGTGCTATGTATTTGTTAAATTTGAATATTTTTTGTAGATGTCGTATGACTTTTTATTTAATTGATTTTACCATTGAAAAAAAGAACTTAGAGAAAATGATGCGTCTATTAGTCTTTTTGTTCTTTACAGTGTCTGATTTATAATATGGATACTAACAATTTCAGGTTTCTTGCCAAGCTCATTCTCGATGTATGCTATGTCCCTTGCATCTGCATTGGCTCTTTTGGAAAAACCAGCAATGGCAGTTTCTGTTGCAGCTAGTGGGGTTATTATTGGGTGGCCCTTCTCAGTGTTAGCTTTTCTGCCTGTTACATTGTTCTCTTTGCGTAAGAGCTTGAAACAAGCATTTATTTCAGGAACAATCATTTCTGTTGCTCTGCTGGTAAGTTCAACTTTATTTATATATTTATTTTTATATATGTTAAGCTATCTCAGAGCAATATTGAGTTCATGTGTGATTCTCAATGCAAGGGATTTTGTACTAAATATGCTAATTACATTTACCAATGTGTACTTGTCCTAGGTTCTCTCAGCTGTTGTTGATCACTACTATTACAAAAAATGGACATCATCTGTGCTGAATCTGCTGCTGTATAATGTGTTGGGAGGTGGTGAAAGCCACTTATATGGAACTGAAGGACCATTGTTTTATCTAAGGAATGGATTCAATAATTTTAATTTTTGCTTTGTCATTGCTTTGCTGTTTCCTGTGACGTTGCTTGTGCGTGCTGTGCGGAAGAAGTATGTTCCAGAGTTGTTAGTTATCATCTCACCTGTTTATATTTGGCTTGGATTTATGTCCCTGCAGCCACACAAGGAAGAAAGGTTTGATAACTAATCCCCCTCTCCACACTTTTTTTCCCCTCAAATCTTGGTTTTGGTGTAGATTTATGTGTTTAAATTTGGTAATTTTTTTTTTAAAATTTTATTTTCTTTCCTTTTTGATATACTTAAAATCTTTGATTTCTCTCCCTTATTTTATAATACGTACTACTATATAATTTAATTGTTAATTGGTAAGTGAGATTTTGGATGAGTTGGACTGTTGAAATCAATGTTCAATGTGGTAACTGAATGGGTGGCTCATGATAGGCTGCGAGGAGCCAAGGACATATTGTTTAGACATTTTGGACACTTCATAGTCGCTTCTTGTGAAGTCATTGAGTGAGAATGGTAGTCAACAGTGTAAGTGTAGTGGGGTATAATGAGCTGATATGCCAAATGATCTATTTCCCCTTTTTACTTTTATGTTCAAGATGAACATACCTGACAGCTGACCTTGAGGATATATCAGGAAACTAAGGGTCTGTTTGGCCAAGCTTCCATAAAACAATTTCTGTTTCCCAGAAGTAATTTTCCAGAAATTGTTCTTAGACAAACACTTTGAAGAAACATATTTGTTTGGCCACAAAATTTTAAAAGTGCTTTTGAGAAATGGAAACAATTTTACATTGTTTGGCCAGTTGAAAATTGGCATAGTACAGCCATGCAAATGAAGATTTGATAAAAGAATATTAATGTTTATTTGATGAATGAAGATTAGTTTTACAAATGAAAATTAATTAAATTGATAAATGAAATAAATGAGTATGAGTACATGTTATTCATTTTTTTTTAATGAAAAATAGACCCATTATCTTTCTCATATTTCTCTACCTTCTCTGCTAGTGTTGCTGCAAATTTAAGCCATTATTTTAGATCAAACCACCACGGCACCACCACTAATGGATCCCTAATGTTATTCTTGGTCTGTCACTTGCTCAAGATCAACCAAGTGACCCATAAAAAACCATCCTAAAAATGTGTAAACTTTCATCGGATACATCAACCCTCCCACCCGTTCCTCTGCAAGTGCACCAATTTCGCCACCACGATCTCTACTAGGCTAGCGACAGTAAAACTTCGGGGTTTTAATTGCAAATATAGAGCATGGTCTTTTGGAGTTGTGGTCAAATCTACAGAAATAAAGATAGAGGAGATAGAGTGGACAAAGGGCTTGATTTTATGAGAGGATATTTTGTCATTTTAACTTCTTTTGAGGGCATATTTGTCCACATAAATTTTCATTTAATGGACTAAACTCCTCCCCTAGAAAGTGAACCAATAAGCTACAAATTGTAGCTTCTACATCTACAATGTATTTTATTCCGCAGAGGGCTTCTCAAGAAGCTGAAATTACTTTTATTAATCATACTGTTTGGCCAAGTTTCTCCTTTTACCACTTAGAAGCACTTTGAGAAGCCCGGCCAAACAGGCACTAATTTCCTTTGACTAGTGCCTAAGTTATCTCTTTGCTCCAAGTGATAATGTGTGTTTTGTATGCTAGATATTGCCCTGTGATCATGAAAAATGATACTTCACCATGTCAAAGATGAAGTAGGTCATGTTAGTGATGTGCAAATGTGCAATCAATCTGGATGGACCTTGTTTATCTGAATTGCTTTTCATGCCTATTGATGACCTCTACACCACTTCAACTCATTACTCGGGCAACAGGGCTGGTTGGCTGATGTGGGGCATTGCATTGAATACATGTCATGTGATGCTGATTAATGTTATGCAATTTCTTGGGGATTTTTTTCACTACTGTTTTGAGATTTTGGTCATTCTACCAAACTGGTTATTTGCTATATAGGTGATCCCTACTTTAGCCCGTGATTTATTGATACAAACCAATGATTAGTTTGATTTTTGCTACTTGTTTACATCTTCTGTAGCTGGGTTACTGTAGGATCGAAGTCTTGTCATAGTTGTTGAACTAATACTTGATACTTACTGAAGCATGTCATCGTAACATCACATTATTTGTCAGGTGATTGGACTTAATTGTCAACTGTATAATGTATGTCAAGTATCAACACTCAACATTGGATTTGATATTCCTGATCATACAAGAACTTCTATTCTAAATTTTGTGAAATTTTATTAGAATTTACTATTTTTTTGGAGTTGGAATGTGGGAGCTTTTAAAAATTCTAAAGAAAAAATTTGGCAAGGGTCAGAAACTCAGAGGCAAAGTATGGGAGGGAGAGGATAGAGATTCTTTTTTAAGACAAAGGGAGTGACTTCTCTTTACACAAGTGGTTACAAAAATGCAGTATATTTTCTTATAAACTGACATGCTTGTTCATCTGGTGCCTGGTGGAATGCATTATTATGCTATATGCAGATTGGATTCCCTTGATACAACTTCCTTGATTTTATTTTTAAATTTTTTTTTCCTGGTCTGCCAATTTGCCAAAGTAATTACGTTTACAATTATCTGCAACTTTGATGATTAATCACAATGACCATGAAATTGTAGTGATTATCAAAAGCAATGTGACACCAGCTGGTTAGCAGTACCATAAGTAGTTCCATGGATAGCAGTTGTCTGTCTCATGTTGCTTGTTTAAGTGTTAATTCAGAACTTAGAATAGAGAGATTTTGGAAGTTGTTCTGGTCTATCGATGTTAGTCATTATTATGTTTATCACTCATGTAAAAATGTTTTGTTCGGTTAAGTGGACTGCAAATTTCTGTTATTGTCTGTCCTTGTTCTTTCTTGCAATACTTACCTTGTTGTTTGTGTTTCTGCAGGTTTCTTTATCCGATATATCCACTAATATGTGTGGCTGCATCAGCTTTTATTGAAATTATGCCTGATTTTTTCCGTGATAAGTACAACCCTAATGATAGTTCTGCGCTTGTTATGGTGAGTGTTTGGAAATTCCTCATAAATCTTTGTTGCTGTTTTTGTAAATGTTGTGATGGTCTCTAATATATAAATTGTTGTGTTTTGTTAAACAGATTGCAAAATTTGTCAGGCCACTGATCCTCGGCTTTATACTGTGTGTCTCCCATTCACGTACTTTCTCTTTGATCCATGGGTACTCAGCTCCTATTGAGATCTATAAGCATTTGCAGTACCATGAGGATGCTGGATATGGTAAGCTTTGGATTATGGTTTATTGCCTATTGGCCTTTATGCGTCACCAATATGCACACTTCTAATTTGTCTTGCAGTAATGATTTCTCCATTGACTTAAAGCATACTATCTCCATCCTAAAGTGTTGCTCATGTTGACTTTTCACGAATTTAAGAACACAATAACTGACTGGCAATTGGTCAATGGCATGTTAGTGTAGCAGGCATAGAGAGTTTTGATTGTAAAATATGCATTAATTTTTTTAAGAGGGCAATAATATGGTTCAGAGGGGGTGTATGACTGCTGCAAGTAACTAATTTCTGTTTATCTGATGAAACGTGATCTTACCATTATGGCGTAGCAGCTGATCTTCAGCAACTCAGTAATTATGCAGGATGAAATATTATTGTTTTGAAGTTGTTGAGAAAGTTGCAGTTCCTTGGTTTTGTATTCTCTCACTTATTCTTTGGAGACTGAGAAGATGCTAGTAAATCTCTTCTTTTGTCTTAATTCCCCTGTGGACAACACTTCCTTTCTTCCATAAATAACTTGGATATAAGTCTTAGTCGTAATGATTTCTAACTTCTATTAATGTAATTATTGGGGAATAGTAACCTTCAGATTAAAGGACATTTCTATAAACAATTTTATCTTATTTTAATTTTTTTTTTTTTTTTTTTTTTTTTTTTCCTGGGGAATGTCCTAGTTCTCACATTTTTATTGTTTAGAGGGTCCTTAACCTTTCTGTTTTTTGAATTTTAGTATTAACCATGCTTTGTTTTTCATTGTGATTACAGGTTCTACCCTCTGTGTTGGAAGTGAATGGCACAGATTCCCTTCTTCGTTTTTTATTCCTGACTATGTGGCTCAAGTGCGCTGGATTGATGATGGATTCCGGGGTCTTCTTCCTTTCCCATTTAATTCAACATTTGGTGGAACTTCAGCAGCACCTTCTTATTTTAATAACAAGAACAAAGCATCTGACAAACAATATGTAATGAATTTCAAACTCAGCCCCTGCCTTGTCAGTTCTTGTTTATTGTGATGATCATAGCCTTTTCTACTCTTAATCTACAAAATTAGTTTCTTTCATTTAAATCATGGGCATGCTTGAAATGGAGGGAATAAATATGAGGTATAAAATAAGAGTTGGTAGATGGGATGGAGGTAGTAGTGGTAGAAAGAAGTGATTGAGGAAATATTTCCTCTTTTTGGGGGTCATATAGTACTTTAGAGGTGGGGTGGGAAATATTAATTTTCAATGGAGGGATAGTAGCTCCCCTACCCCTTCCTCCTCTCTCAATTATCACCACCTCCATCATTCTATTTCTTCTATTTTACTTTAATTGCACTGTAATTCATTACTTCCAATCCAAGGGTCCCCTGAGAGATTGTAAATTGCGTGTCTGAATTGCTGTTGCCATTTATGTGCAGCTCCAGGATCTTGAAATCTGTACCTTGCTTGTTGAACTTCACTTGAAACGCCCCTTTGCATATCGTGGTAGTGACTTGTCAACATGGGAGGTAGTATTTCTAGTATTTTGTTCCTCTTTAATTTATTATTTTGTTTTTATTTGCTTATGTTGAAGTGTTGAACAAATAAACAGGTTGTTGCGGCATTGCCTTACTTGGATAGAGAGCTCTCGCCATCCTTGCATCGTTCATTCTTCATCCCATACTTTTGGCAGGAAAGAAATGTTTTCGGCTTGTATAAACTTCTTAGAAGAATCCCAAAATGAGCTCCACCGCAGGAAATGTCTGATCTGTTCTAACTTCTAACCCAAAGCACAGGTACTTTTAATTAATCCTATACATGATTTTGTCTGAATGAGGAACTTTATCATCATACGAAGTATAATTCAGGTAGAGAGCCTTATGCTTATCCACATCATTCTGCTCTTCCTTGCATTTTACATGAAAGCTTTTAACTTATATCCACTACACTTAGTTCATTTGTTGATTAGGCAACTAGCCATTATCTTTAGTATGATAACGGTATTGGGATAATGTCAGGCTTTGTCTGGGTAGTGTGCTATAGGATTCTCTTTTACATACTGAACTCCTTCTCTGTAAATTTAATCATGCACTCAGGCTTCGACTTGCATTTTGATAAAACAACTAGGTGGTGCAAACTGCAAAATACCTAGGTGGTGCAAAAGTGGTTTAAAATGAAAATAAAATTACAAGGGGATAGATAAAAGGGAAAAAAAAACTTTGGCGAACCAAAATGGTTATATTATAGATAATATTTTGGATAGATACAAAATCAATAAATTGCAAATCTTGTTGAACATTTCATGGCATGTTATTAAGAAAGTATTCCCTAGTTTTATTTATATTTATTTATTTTGTAAAAATTATTTGTTCTACTTTAATTTCTTGCCTTTACTTTGATTATTTTTATTGTTGCAATACATAAGGAACGGAGGAAGTATACTAGTAAAATAACTAAAAACAAAAAAAACTTATGTGTATTGATACATATCTAATGACGTTAGACATAATAGTATTTATTTTTATACTCCTCCTGTCCCCTTTTAGTTGTCATATCTAGGGAATGAAAATTAATGAGGGAATTATTGTGATGCTTCTCACCTTTTAGTTTTAGATTACTTTGATCATAAAAATTGAGTTTAATGGCACTTTTAATGCTATTGTTGTTTATGATTGGAAACCTGACAACTATTTTAGTACATTTGACAACTAAAATGGAGGGGTATAATAGTAGAAAAATATGATCAATGTGAAACATGTGGATAGAGTATCTGTTTAAGTGAAACAATTGAAAAATTAGAGGGAATATAATAAATTAATAATACACCTTTTTTTTGGAGGGTTTGTGGGGGTAAGTGGGAGTAATATATTATTAATACACCATTTTACATCAGAGATTTTTCCCCTCCCCCCCCCCCCACAAAGCTGAACATACATACAACTAAAATGGCTTGGATACAACATCGACAGATATACAGATGCTGCAAGACATCAGTCATTCTTTATATGCATATTATAGGTTATAATCAACTTTATCAAGCTTTACAGCACAACTATTACCACACTTTTTTTGAACCCATTAGCCCTAAAATGTCCTCCCACATCCCTCCACTATTCACATATTCCAGCCCAATAACATTCGGACTGCATGCAGCAACAGTCCAGTATCCGGCTCGAATTTCCTCCTGCAACTGCTCCTTTTCCCATCCACAATACCCATCAAAGAACTTAATGTCATCCAACCCAATCACGTTCCTCTTTACCATCTCAGCAGCACATCCCACACTCTCCTTGGTCCCGTAATACAAACCTTTCATCACCTCATCAAACACCCCACTCTTACTGACACCATCATCCCCCTCTTTTGGGCTTTTAACAAGGAACAGTCCCTCTTCTAAGGGACCTCCAAAATACAAGGGTCGGTCTAGAAATGTGCCTGATGAATCTAACACTGTCGATTTAGTTTCCTTGATGGACATTAGTGATGGGCGGTTTAGTATGATTCCAGTTGGGCCTATAGGCCCTGTCGCTAGCATGAGGACCACAGTCCTCTCAAAGATGTGTACCCCGTCGAGCTTCTCTGTTGCTATGAGTAGGCAACCTTTTTCAGGCTCGTGAATTGCATGGGCCCAATTATCACCTATTATCTGCTTCTGCGGATCAACATCAGCTGATGCTGGTGGTGGTGGTGTGGGATTTTCAGGGATAGAGATTTTCTCTGCTGCAACAAGTTTTGCTCTGAATGATCTCCAATCTCCACTGAGTGTGGGATTAATTTCCTCATCTCTGGATGACGAGGATCCCATTTGGCAACCTACGTAAGATGGTAGAAAAATTTTCCAAGTTTAGTTGATGATTCTGTTTTGAATTGATGGTCCAAGTACTGATCAATGTTTTATTAGGTCCAGTTGATTATCAGGGTAGGGAATTTAGGCAAGGGGATAGCTTAGGTATGTTTTCTAGCTGAGATAAGCCTGTCCACTTTTCTGTAATAGTTCATGACAGGATGAACTCATGTATTAATGTTATAATCGGCAGTAAGTAGAATTTCAATCTTGAACTTCCTCTATTACATAATACCCTATTTAATCAATTTTTTATTTTTTCAATTTGTTTATCAATTACTAGATTAATGCAGTATCACTTTTCAATTTAAAGTACCAATGCAATATCACTTGTCACCTTTAAATGCTAGCAAATAATTCTTCATACGTGTGCATAACCTTAAACAACGATTAATCGATTATTATCAAGAGTTTCCGACACTGCTTCTGTAAATGCTAATTTGGTAAAAATTTGTTTCAGATATGATGAGTCGAGGAGAAACTTACATGTTATGGAAGACGAAGTGACATGCTTATAGCTGTGGAGCAGAGAACTCTTCTTGGGAAGGACAAGGAGTTTAGATTTCGCCAATGGAATAAGTTCGGTAGTCTTGGTAATGCAGTTTGAGCTGAGGAAACAAGCTTCCATCTTTCTCTCTTTTTGCTTGCAAATGGATAATTTTGCTTAGATGTGTATGTTTTTGGCTCTTACTTAGATTAGATGGAAGAATATGAAGTGGTACTACTATGTACAAAAACTCCCAAATTTTATTGGAAAAACAGGCAATATCCACCACACATATAGTTAGTTAGTGTGTTAAGTTGGATAGGGTGGCTTTTGCACTTTTTGTACTCTGCTGGCCCAGTGGATATGGTGTGATGTGGCGAAAAACTATAGGTTAAAAATGTTCATGTTCATCTACCAATCTTAAGCATTGTATTCATATATTCATATTTATTTAGCAAACTTAGCATTATTAAATATTTTATTTTATGTTATAAATTTTGGTAGATTGTCGTGTAAACTGTCATAGTATCTCCTGAGGTGGCATAAAACTAATTTCATGGTGATGTTCAGCTTCTTTTGCGGTTAAGGGGCTATGAAGAAATGCAGGTTAAATGCTTTGGGAAGTTTGTTTGGTTTTGCAATATAAAATGCATGACCTCAAAATTTGATGGTTTTGTTGCAAATGTCTGCGTTGGAAGTTTAAATGTCGTGTAAACTGTCATAGTGCTTCTTTGTAATTGATATATGTGGAAAATCATTTCCCTTACAAGTCACAACTCATTTGGCAGATAATAATAAATGACAGCAATGGTAATATGGTAATGAGTTTATACAGAGTAATAGTAAAGTTTATGATTCAACAATTGCATGCATTTTGATTCTCTTCAATACTATGACTATAAATGATAGGCAGCATTTGAGAGTAAGTTGCTCCATAATCAATGACATGAGATTTTTATCACAAAATTTTACTCAAGAATGGCATAAAAATCATTTACACTCCCTCCTTTCATTATAATTTTTTGCTTTGTTTGACCATTTTTTAAAACGCATTATTTCTATATTTTTATCTACTTGGGACGCTATACTACACGTATGGGCAAATGATGAGCAATGCCTACTCACTTCAGTGCTCAAAACATTTTATAAATTTCATCATTTGTATTAGGGGAGATTCTTCTTTGGAGCTCATAGAGGTTCGGCTCCTATAATTGTTATAAGACTTACTAAATATGTGTAATAACTAATAAATATATTGCCTTAGACAAGATATTATATCAAACTAGTGTGTGGCCCGGGCGATGCCCGGGTTGCTAGTTTGTACTTGTTTAATTTGCTAATCAAATTCAACTGTTTAGATGGTAAGACTTGTTGGTTTTGAGTTTAAGTGTTGCTATAAACATGTTTTAGTTGTCAAACTCAATCATTACATAATGGAAACAAATAGTATAATAAGACACAAATTAACTTATCTAAGTTAACTATAATTTTGTTGGATAAAAAAACGCAATTAACAAATGGCTAAGATGGTAAGTATTTTTTAGATGCAAAACTAATACATGTGAAAGTGACATATCATGTTTATAATGACATGTGTCGCGTATTGTTGACATGTCGAATTTGAAAAAGGTGACACGCGGATCATATTCTGTTTTAGAAACGCTTTTTAATGTAAGTATACATGTCAAACATAAATGCTATTAATACTTAATTAAATAATTAATATTTAGATTTATCTTTATCGATGCCTCAAAATTCTATACTCGAATATAACAATACAAATTTGTTTCAAAAACTCACACTACAAATTCAAAATTTTATTTCAAAATAATACACCTTTTAAAATTATAGAGAATACTCCGTATTATTTTTGTACATATATTGTAATATGTTACTGTTATCTCTAGCTCATATGAGTTTGTATAAACTAAATTTGTAAATCGAACTTGCATTTTTTTTTCCTCATGTTAATTAATTTAAATATCTATCTTTTAATTGCATGTAAGAAGCATACAAGAGTTATGTGGGGATGATTGACCCTATTACTTTATTCTCATATTCGCTCAGATCATTGTTATTTGTGAATAGCTAGATATCTACAATTTTAATTAGAGGTTAAAGTTCAAAACTTGGCCCCTCATACCTTTTAGTTTATGACTCAGCACACTGTTCCTTCTTACTTTATACCATTATACATGATGTGAATAAAAAAATGTTATGATATAATACAAAAATCTTGGGATCTAGTCAAGAAAATTGTTGCACAACTTTATAGTCTTAAGAATCTCAAAACAATTTTTAACACTTGCGGGTAAATCATAAATTGAGTAATTATTTTATTCAAATTTTATAATTTGTTTCTTCTTATAAAATGAGGAAGCCCTAGTTTATCTCCTTGATAAACAAAATTTGTTTATCAAATGACAAAATTGTTAATAAATCAATAATTTTGCCTAGTCATCATAACATATTTGTAAATAAATAAACTATTATGGGGTCCATTTTCTAGTCCTCATGGCATGATTGTAAATAAATCAATCATTGTGAGGTCCACTTTCATAAAAAGTTGTTGATTTATTTACAGTTTTGTCATTTGATAAACATATTTTGTTTATCAAGGAGATAAATATATACGAAGTACAATTTTTGTATAGTTCTTTGTTAACCTTCAACGAGCTAACATCGAGTCTAGCCAATATGTATAAGTTTGTGGCTCAACATAACAGGCAATTCAACACTCTTATAATTGAACTTTGTATGGAGATAGCTCAACATAACAAACGTTTGGTTTTTGCAATTCTTGTATTTCAAGGAGATTTGTGACTTAAAACAGACGATGCATTGAAACGTGTATGTGTGCGTGGTCTAAAACCAAACGCAACCATATCATGGAATTAACCGATGTAGGCGTCGTTCGAAGTGCGTCTACGTTAAAGCATGTTGTGAATATGCTTGGAACTTATAGGAAGTGGGAGTTGACATAATACGATTAGGGACAAAGAAAGTAGGGAGCCGCCAACAAGTTTTTAAGAAACTTGTAAACCGTTTACGGATCATTTAAGGCAACCACTAATAAAAGGGCAACGATAGGCAACACCGATTGACCCGTGAAGGTTACACCTCATTCATAATCCATGAGATTACTACCTCCATATGGTTCGGAACCACAAAAGGAGGATCGGGGATGATGGTACGAAGTGAGTCATGCATGGAGTCACGTTCGCCCGTATTGGCCTCTACTCGATTCTTATAATGAAAAGTGATTCCTGCGATCTCAAAGGCATGCAAACAAAAATTCAATTTGCTCCAAACTATTACTATGCTAAATTGGTTGAATATTAATGCAATACATAATTCTAAAATATCGTGATCACTTGATTAAACAACAAGGTTAAAAAGGAACCTAAACCGGTCGTCCAAATTATCTTATTAGTCGTGATTTTCAATTAAATATTCCCTTTAAACATGCAATATGGTGATCATAAAAAATATAATAGAATTAACATTAATATTGGAAGCAATTCAACAATAAATCCAACAATATAAAATCATTAGAAAAATAATAGAAATTAAAGGAACATGATTACTTACTTTGATTTTGCTTGCTTGCAACTATAAAACAATAAACGAGTTAGTAATTTCAAGGAAATAAATAAAATGATAATTAAAATTAAATTAAATAGAGTTGATTTGGGGCCAAACTCTCAAATAGTTCTACCTTTCACGCCTTGTTTAAGGACAAAACCTCGGGTAAAGTACAGACTCCTTGGAGTGCTTAAAGGAAGTATTTTGAAAGAATAAGGTAGGCTAGTATTTAGGCTAGAGCATAGAAGAGAGAAGAGAGGATTAATTGATGCCTCGAACAATAGAAATGAGGGGGTTTTATAGGGAAAATGAGCAGAGGGAACACACGGAACCCTAAAAAGATAAAAACCTTATAAAACACTGCCGCGACACGGCAAAGTATGTCGTGACACGGTACACTTTAGTGTGACGTGGGGAAACCTGGAGTGACGTGGGAAAGAATTAACCTACGGAAGATAAAAGTGCGTGAAGGGTTTACGCAGAGAAAACACGAAACAACCCCGTGTCACGGAATGGGCACCCCCTGACACGGGAATCATACCGTGACGCAGTGCAAAATCCCGTGGCGCGGCAACTGTTCCCGTGACACGATGGATTTTACTTCCATTTTTGCGTCCAGATTCACTTTTACCCTAATTACGCTCAGCATTTTTAAGTGCCGTTTCATAATTTTGGCTATTTCAGTTTATTATTTATTAATTGGGCTAAAATAATAAATAATATGAAATGAATAAAAAAGGTTTGGGCCAAAATAAAAATTGGACTATGCTTTGACTAAACATTAAGACTTATTTACGAACCGAGTTTGATTGAATATGAATTTTAAGCACTCGCGGGATTAAATACTCAACCCGACCAATAATGGCGGTGAAGGGTTGTTCATCATCGGGTTTGGTTTTGGGGAGACATTTTTAGGTGTCTACATCCGGTAATAACTAAGTTTAAATTTAGAACTGATCAAACATAAATTATGCTTAATTAATGAAATACATCTTCTTAAAACAATATTGCTTGTTTATTTAAATATTAGCTTTGTTCCAAGTTAGACAGTTAGTCATGCGTCAAGGTTATAAAAAGATACGATATTTTCCCTAGAACTGAACCCTACAACATAAAAATCATATCAATTATTGTATTCAAACTTACAATGTTTGCAGGTATTTACATTGAATATCAACTTTTTTGGTGGCTAAGTTATTTTGTAATCTATTTTGATATTGATCTTACATAGAATAATTACAACTAACTAACATGTTTTAATCAAGTTAATAGTAGGATATGCAATAATCATGGGTAACATTATTTTCGTTAATGGGTTTATAGATCCATTTGTTATTTTGAGATACATTTAATACCAATTACTTTCAATACAAAGTACAAGTAGGTTAAAATGTATTCGATATTTTTTTATCCGACTCATAATATATTAAGATGCACTACAAGAAAATAGAGTAAATTTTGACGCTTTTGCCTTGACACTTTTGTAATGGGTCATAATTTTCCTCCGTGCACTATTATGTAATTTATACATTTTGACTAATTTTAGAGCCAAAATATATTGTGTCCCTCAAAAGGGTCATAATATTGAATGCAATGAAACGTGTCACCCAACTATCAATTAGGGGTGAGCAAGACCGGGTACCCGGTCATATTTGTAATACCCGGATCCGGAACCGGTTATAACCGGGTCCCAAGAATTGGAACTGGTCCCGGAACCGGTTAATACCGGATCCAAATTTTTTGGAACTGGTCCCGGACCCGGTAGGAACCGGTTCCAAAACCGGGTACCCGGTATTATTCAACGTAGTAAAATACTGTTTTTTTCTTTATAAT